TGCAGAGTATCTTATATTATTTTGGTTTAATTCAACACTACATGATACTAACGGTTCTACAACTGCATCCGTTGCATATTCTGCTTAAGAACCGCCTTCATCAGCTTGCTTAACACCTTCTAACCCTTAACAGGTAATTTTGAATAGGAGACGACTTATTAAACGCTGGAAACATTGTAGCTGAGAAACCTAGTGGTCTATCTCGTTCCCGTCTTTTACGCGGAAACTCTCGGTTTTATCACCAAACATTTTTATTTATATTCTGAATAAACTAGGTTGATAATTATACAACTACTATTGTGGTGAGAGCTTTCTGCTAGCCAAAATTGGTAGACAGCAATTTACGTCGATGTTTACGTCTCAAACCTTGGTCATGAGAAAAAACAAGAACAAAGACTAATCTTGAGGAACTCAACAACCAATCACAGAAGACTTAGCGTGGCCGGATAGGATTAGCAGATATATCAACGAACTGTCTAAGAAACAGCAACAAAGAGCTGACAGAATAACCTTCAGCAGGAAAACAACCAATTAGAAGACGTTGCTCCTCTGGTAACAATAACGAATAATAATGTACATAAAAATCTTTAAGTATCTATTGATATTCCTCAATAAACGATCTGTTGCCTGACCCTTGTCTTCTGTCGTTACTTTATTATCTATTCTTCCAAATACTGATCAAAATGTTAATCCTGGTTTTAATTATACAACACAATATTGCAAAAAACGAAATCTGACTTTTCTGAATTTGTGTTAACTTCCGACTCAATCTCAGTGCCTCTGAAACGTCATAAACAATTATTTGTTGAATAATTGTGTTGTTGCTTCTAGGTTCATATAGTACTGCATCCAAAATATTTTAAGACGTGGTCATTGTCAGTGTTGATGAAAAATGAACTTTTTGTTTATTCGAACTGGTTACAATTTGGTGGGAGACAAGACTATCGTCGCTTCATCGTACACTAGTTGACAGAAGACTGGAGAAATACGGTCAGAAGTATTATAGTACATTATAATAACATTTATTTTCAAGTAGCAAATGCTAATTCTATTATGTGTGTTTTAGTTTTATCAACCAGATTAAATAACACCACAAGTTTTCGATGATAGTTTGTTTACAGTTTAATTTGAACGTATGTATCATTCTGTCGTAACATACTTAGAACAACTGTTACTGCTATCAGTCTAAAGGACGTTGTTTAGTGAGGACCTCAGTCATCCAGCTATTGTCTAACCGAAGCTCTCGGCATCTGAATATACTTACCCAGAGCTCCAGCAGCTGAAAATCAGTAATGGTTTCGAGTGCTATTCGAGAAAGTATCACCATGTGGAGACATATGGGAGCCTTAATTTAGTCAATTCTTTGCTGATTCTGTTTGAAAACCGTTTAAAAGAGAATCAGTTCGTTAAGATTATAACTAGTCTTCACAGACAACTTGATTAATATGCTGATGCAATGTATCACACTAATGTTATCTAAAAAAGAGGCCACTAAAACATTTGATGAGTGAAAGGGTCAACAATTTAACTGACTGACTTAATAAAATGACTTGACTGTTCATGATAAGAAAAGAGCAAGAGAGAGGTTTTTATTTGTTTTCTCAAAGGAATACTTCAGAAATTCGACTTAATTTTTACGTTATTATTGCACAAATATAACCATAACCTCTGAGATTATATAGGAAACACAATCGGTACAAAGAATGCATTGACTATTCATCGCGGAAACATGACAAAGAATGTCTCACAGCCATTCAAACCAACCGATAAGCCTGGGGCGGCCTGACAGGTAGGTTTCGATCAGAACAATTTTTTGCCGAACCTTTCGTTTTCGGCAGATTTAACGCTCGAAAACACCAGGTATAAATGGTTTGCCTTAGTTGAATTTGTAGAATATCATTCTATAGGTTTGAAGAATAGGCATACACAACAACTCACCAGGTGTATCTGGGTTCGCTCGACCTATGTTCCCTGTGTTTCTCGAATGTAGCCACCAGTTGCAGCGTTTTAGATACTTTTTCTTTGGTGAATGGGGGGATGGAGTCAAAATGACTTTGTCGGACGCCAGTCATGAAAACGCTAAGAGTGATGAGAACTGCGAGTACATTGCACTTACACCATGAGCATTCCTGCGTGTTCAGAAAAGAAATCTTATCTTTCTTAAAATTTATTAACCACTTTACACCACATACAAATAGAGTGATACTTCTAATTCAGTGTTCTTAAAACTTGACAGATGCAGACCGTCAAACTGCTGAGTGGCAGTAGCACTTATAACAGTTCGACTTATGGTGCCGGAGTAGTCCGGCAAAAATCTCTAAGGGAAATGCTGTGCCGTTAAAACTACTGACGGCAGTCCCTTTTATAGTGAGATTCAACTCATATAGATCTCGAACTTAGAACTCGCATGTAGAAATGGACTAGAGGGATCTACACAGACAGAGGTTTGAAACGTTTGTGAGGCTTGTGGTGGAATGTAATAACGGTTGATCTAATGCTTTACCAACAAGATGGTCCGATATACACGTTTAGGCTGATAATCTCACAGCCAGCTTTGATAATGGTGTTTTGCTTCTATGTCAGCACTTGTCGTGCAGGTGCACAAGTAAAGTATTGACACGTTAATAGTGGCCAAACTAATCGCAGAGACGATTTCAGAAGCAATTAATCCTCCTCAGAGTGTCTGGAAGCATGGAGGGTCTAGTAGGAATATATGCAGATCTATCCGCCCCAGCTGCGAACCAAGAAGACGGCTATTTACCAGTACTTTTACTCCATTTTACAAGGTAATGTAATGATGTTGCTTTTGCCACAGCAGGCTCAGTAAGTTTCACCCTTGTGACGTGAGATCACTGAATTGGTGAGGCACACCTTTATGACCTGGGTTTTACATTTTTAAGCATGGAAGTTAGTGAACTGAAGAAAGTAGTTTGTATTTGCAACTTCAGCCTAACAGTAAGTCTTCTACAGGACAGCGGTTTACTTGAGCGAAATCTGTAGACCTCAGAATTCTCCTACATGAATTTTCAAGTCAAAAAACTCCTGGTTGTGTTAACTTTCTTCTTATCTAGGTTTAATTGCATACTGCAGCAATCTTCACTTAGGCATGTAACTGTTACTCTACATTGAAATAATTTAACGAGAACTATAACTACCATTTGATGTCATGGTTGCCAGCATCAGCATATGCTATTCAGTTAAAGACAGTCTAAGTAAATGGTTAGTACTGGTGATGTTTTAGGAATGTTCACCCAGTCTAGCGTCTCCAACTCCAGTGATATTTAGCTGGGAGGTCACACCTTGCATTCCCAACATTTTCAGTGTGTCGGAGGCACGGCAGTAGAATGCTTGCCAACCACGTATGTGGTTCGGGGTTCAATCCCCGACCAACGCATTCCTTTACCTCGTTTAACCGGTGATATGGCTGGTAGAAAGAGAAGGCTGGGCATGAGACTAGCAACCTCCTCCCGTAAAAATAAATACCACTGCTGCGGAAATTCGAGCCTTTAGCTTGAAGCCCTGTATTCTACTGGGAACGTAAAGGAATTGAATAAAATAATAAGTAAAGTACACCAACATGTGAGAGTAGTGCTCTGAACACAGTCTAAGCATCTGAAAGAACACTTACTGCATCAAGCTCATGGGAAAAAGTCGTAGCCTTGGTATAGAACCTTGTATTTGGGGAAGCCGTAACCGCGTCGGTGGCACAGTGGTTAGGACTCTCGTCAACCATGCACATGGTCCGGGCTTCGATCCTCTGCCGACGAACACCCGATATCTATGGTCAGCCTGCAAAATTTGGGCTACCGATATCACATGCTGAAAATTCCATACCTGTACTGAAAATACGGTGTGGAATCAAGCTGTAATAAAAAAAATTACCGAGCACAACACGGAAGATGTGTGCAAATGACGATTTGCAGATAAGATGCACATAATTTCCCTATATGTGTAAATGAAATTGCAAATAAACATTCCAGTACGAAGTTGGGAAAAATTTCAATATCTTATCACTTTAACACGCAGCCCAGCTAACAACAGATAATAACATCGCAAAATGGCACTTTATCTTAGCTCTAGTTGTATTTTGATGCTCTAATCCAACAAGGTCGCTCATAATTTCATAAAAGACAAGATGATGAGATTCACAATCAAATACATAAATTCCATAGTCAGGGGGCTGAAGATATATTTGTTTGAACTCAAATGCCTTATCTCCGACTTGGATTTCAAAATAATTATATCAACGGGAACGTAGCTGCTCTCTCATATTGTCTAAAGTGGTGTTAGTAAGAGCAATGTGATTCTGTTTATGTGGGTTAGGCTTAAGTCGGGAGAGATGTCAACAAGCGATTCGGAGACAAACCTTGTTAAATTAGCTTTACTCCAAACAGTACTTTTGGTACAATATGGAATTTTCAACGCGAAGTACGGTATTGCATCTAGCCTTATCATTACAGTGATTACAAATAAGACAGGGCATTTACATTTGTAATAAGAAATGAACATAAAATCAAATTAGGTGAGAATATTTGCAACACTGTATCAGATCCACCTCTCATTCAAATTCGAAGCCTGCAGTTTGCTACTCAAAATAGATCACTTATTGTGGATGTAAACCTCAAGTGTGCTTTCGTTTCTTTACACCTAGAGTCTGAGTACTGCAACGCCCTGTGAAAAGACATAAACAATGCACCGCCGTTGGAAAGTCCTAGGAGGCTACCTGATAACAATTCAGCGACACAGATGTGTTCAACAGAATTTGAATTCCACCAAATCGTCACACAATCCCCACATACTGTTGTGCAACATCTGGTCGCCAGCTTATACTGACCTAAATTCACCAACATGTATTTTTATCCCGTAAATCCTCGTTCGGTACACTTAGTGCTATGAGTATTACCATTCTATCACAGAGATTAAATTAAAGTGTACCGGCTTCTTACTTCCTATGAGGTTACATGCAGTTCAATAGAGTATATTGGACATTGTATTGAGTGTGGGACTTACAAAGTATGCGTTATTCGTAGGTATGGTTGTTCATTATCACTTTATTCGTATCTTTTTGTTGATGAAACAAATTATTTAAGTACAAATTCTTAGGTAGAGTCAAACTGTAGTAGCAATCCTGGTATATATCTTTCGACAACCAAGTAGTATTACATGTGACACAACCAATTCAAAAATAGCATCTGTTTTCAATTAGCCCAAAGAGTTCCCGGATGATTGGGTATTTTGATCACTGTGGGAACAGTTTAGTAATTAGAGTTACGGGGACATGCGTGTTATAGTGGGAAAGCTTATCATGTAGGCGGATTAGGATTTTGGGGCAGATTATTATTAATCTGTTCATAAGTGAAGAGCTCTTCTGATTCTAGAATTAAAAATATAATTGGATCTCAAAACACTTTCACCTGTGTTCATATTTTTTTTACAATTTTGCGACTATCATTTATTCTGGATTCTGACTAGTTGCTGAAGGTTTGTCGTAAGGTCTAAAGGGATGGCTGCTATAGTTCAACTTCTGCATTTCCCATAAGTTCGTAAGATTTTCTCGGAGTGATATTGCCGGCAAAATCTCAGTTTTATTTGTCTGTAAAAATGTCATGCACAAATATTATGGGTAAACTGATCACATTTTTTACTTATGTTTCAGTCCTAATGCTGCGAATTCACTATCTTCGCTCTTGTATAATTAGTAACTAAGGTGTTCATACAGTGCACTGTTCATACTAGTGTTGGAATAATATCGGGAAAATAATTTAATCTGTATTTGATAATCTTGTTTGAAGACATATAAATCGGTCTTCTCAGTAGGTTTTGCATTCATTTCCATTCTGTCAAATGTTAAGATGCCCAGCTGGTAAAATAAACCGGGTTTATTGTAGAAACGCTGGGTCAACATGACGTAGTGGGACCTAATACCCTGACGTTCGGGACTCTATGCAGAGTGACTCACTTTTGACGCAGTGTTCCTACAGTACCAAAGTCATTTTTGCTGTTATATCGTAACTGCCGAATACTGAAGTCGTAGATAATCACTTATTTTAACCACAATTGTCTATGTAGCACTATTCAATGAATGTTAGATGACAGAATGCATTCAGATTAATAGCGATAGATCGTTTGCTGTGGCTGATTTGCGGTGTATGGTGTCCAGTAACCGCTCGTTATAGTCAATATTGGCATGAGTAGAATTAGTTTAGGAAAGCGTTTAGGTTAGTGAAAACAGGTCCTGGAACTAATTCATGAAACTTCGAATGTTGATAGTAACCATGTTGAGTGTTACGAATCTTTCCATTATGGGTAAACTTTGTTTTGATAAAGTCTCACAGTGTTATACAGTAATGTTTACTGATGACGTTTCGAGCACAATTTATTGGTCATAATCATATCAAGGTGCTCGAAACGTCATCAGTAAACATTACTGTATAACACTGTGAGACTTTATCAAAACAAAATTTACCCATAATGGAATTATACTCTACCACAGTGCACAAGTTTTATTCTTATATCAATGTTACGAATCTTTGTTCGGAGACTTGGTTATATGGAGGATTTCATCATGAGCTGTCAGCTCATGATGATGAAATCCTCCATACAATCAAACAAAATCCCTACCAAATCAATACTTGGTTATATGGCTGAAAATTACCCACAGGGGAGATGTATTTATTCCTTATCATTCTCGAAATATTAGAGGTTTTCATCAGTCATCACCTAGTAATTATGCTTCCATTGTAGAATCACTGATAGATATGTCCTTGAATTTTATGTGTGATGCGTTGAAAAATTACGTATTGAACTGATGTGCGTATTTCTCTGTTGTCTAGTTTGCCTTTAGTCAACTATTTTCAGCGCCTCGTGTACTTAAAGGTGAAAGTCATTAGTCGTAGGGTTTCAAATCCACAGCATAAATTCCCATTTGCGTGCTGAATTTAATTCTACTTCACAGTTTGCTTTCACTTTACACTTAACATTTTGCTGTATCCTGCAACGGTTATATTTATTTTTGTCCAGGTTGAGGTTGCTTGCGTAAGTTTGTGAATCCCCATATTAAATCAGACATGCATGCTCTTATTATTATTATTCCCTTGGGTTCCGAATGAAACATATGGCTTAAACAACACATCTCCACTTTCTTCCATTTTCTGCTGTCCTCTTAAACGATTGCCCATATTCTCTCATCTCCTCGACACACGATCTCTTCCATGTCACCCTTGGTGTGACGAACCACCCATCACTTCCCATTGCGTTTCCACTTGAGTGACGGCCTGCATTGCGCGCGATATCATTCGATGGCCTCCTCAATGTATGCTTAATCCATCCATCTCCGTTTCCTCCTACATATTTGTTGAGCGATTGGCACTTGGTTGGTTTGCTGCCAGAATTTCTTGTTGCTCATCCTTTTTCACTGGCCATTTGATCTTCCATATGGAGCCAGTGAAGACAGCTGTTGACGAAATTCTGTAACTTGTTGGAAATCCTTTCACTGACACGTTGGCCGAATTTCTGACCCATACAGAAGAAGTGACTGACTTAACTTTGGCATTGAAAACCCGAATCTTGTTCTTTATGCTGACGTGGAGTGTAGAAGACTTCCAAACTGATTTCAGGCTGGTGAAGGCATATCTTGCCTTTCCGATTCTGTCTGGATTTGACATCTTCATCGGTCCGGTATGCCTGTGGTTGATACGATGCTTCCTAGATAAGTGAAGGAAGGAGGTGACCTCTGTCAAATTTCTCCAGCAGATGGTGATTGGTGCTGTTTTGTTGTTGTTGCTGTTAGATGGTTATCTTCATCACCTCTATTTTCTCTATGTTCACCTGGAGTCCTACTTTCCCTGTCTGTCTCATCAGCGAGTTTTGTTGGTTTTCGTTGATATAGGAATAGAACTTGTGCACTGTGGTAGAGTATAATTCCATGATGGATAAAATTAATTTTGATATTAATATTAACTGATGACATTTTGAGCACAATTTATGAGCATGATCCGTTTTCAGTGTTTCGGCGTGGAATTTTGTCTAGTCCTGCTGCTTCCTGGATTTCATTAGCTTGGTCGCATTCAAGATTTCTGCTTTGGTCGGAGGATTGGTGTCCTCTTGCAGTTTGTGTGTGCTGTTGGTGGTGGTGTTTCTTGGCGAGTTGCAGGTGATGGTCGATTCATGAGTCCTTTAAGGTGACCAGTCTATTGTTTGATTTACTGCTCCTCCTTGGTAATCAGGTTCTCATAAACATCTTTTATAGGTTTCGTCTGCGTTGATCTCTTCCCCGATACACATCTGGTTATCTGATATAATGTTCTAAAGTGTCTTTTACTTTCCACCTGCCGGTTCTACTTCAGTTGCCGGCCAGTGCTTTATAGAATTATTTTTTGTCTCTCCCAGCACTCTTTTTCACTTCTTTATTCAGTGCAGTGTACACTGAACTCAGATGCTCCTTCTGTTACCGCCCTCCTCTCTTCCATTAGCTACCAAGTAGATGTTGATTGAGAGGCATTCCTTGTCTTGTCTCTCCTTTCTCCCCAGAAGAGTGGTACACGTTTCCTTGAACGTCACCTTCAGAGAGTTCCAACGTTCTACACAGGTCTGCTTAGTAATGCCACGTATTGTCTCCGAATTTGCTCTGATCTGATCTGTAGTGCAGGTAGCCCTTATAGTTTTGTCTTTCAGTTTCTGAGTGTTGGACTTGAACTGTGGTCTGTCTCCAGCTGTTCCGAAGAATTTCAGCTTCACCTTGAAGGTTCCTTAAACTAGTTGAATATCTGAACCCACATGTGCCCCTCTTCTCGACTTTGTATCCAGCGGGCTGCGTTTCCATTTCCATGAGCAGCATTGGGGTGAAGTCTGTCTGGTTTGTGGTGTGTCCGCAAAGTGAAATCCATGTTGCTTCGTGTATATTCTTGTGCTAGAACACGCTCCCTCCAATTACCAAATCATTGAACGTGTAGAAGTCTGCGAATAATTCTCCATTCTCATTCATTTCTCCGGGTGAGAGCCTCTCGACCCATGATGAATTCTCTTCTTGTATCATCTGCTCTCAGTTCGGCTTACATTCATATCGCCTATGAGGATTTGGATGTCACCATTTGGGATGTTGCCCATTACTGTTAGTAGTTGTCTATAAAACTCTTCCTTCCTCTCTTGTTCCGCGTTGTTTGTAGCACCGTGCGTAGCATTGGATAATTGTTACCTTCCTTCCTCCCTTTTGAGTTGAATATATCTCATCTTCATAATCCTGCAGGAGATTGATTCCCACTGCATTAAGTTTTTGGCTGCTGCTGGTGACATCATGATAGCCCCTCACTGCATCAGTGTGCTCGTGGTTGCCGCCTGCATGACCAGACAAGAGTAGATTACTGACTCTCCAGTTGACAATTTCAAAATTCCACATCTACTTCATCTGCTCTGCAGGTTCCCAGCACTTCTATACCATATCTTCTTATTTCTTTGGCTACGTGGGCAGTCTTCAAGCCTTGTACATTGTACGAACATTCCACGTCCCCATTTTCATTCTTGGTTTTCATCGGTTGAAGACACATCGGCTGACTGGCTTCCCGAAGGCTTTCATCAGCCCGCTGTGTCATTTCACCTCTCCGATTCCAGCGAAGAATAAGTTTGTTTCTTATACTTTTCATATTTTTATTGTGCGTTGAAGTTTCTCTAAACGTTTGATTGGTTTTGTAGCGATAAATAGTCGGTGATTTCATAATTTTGAAGTACTTCCGGACGTTTAGCTATTTATCCCTTAGGTTAACACTAAGTGTTTCTGATACGTGTATATCACGTCTAATACAGTTGTTGTTTAACTACATTAACATACATCTTATATCGACTAAGGACTTTCTAGCTAAATATAATATCTTAAAATTCAGAAACATATAATGCAATGTAAATTTCAGGGTTAAGTTTCTCTAATAACTATATACTGCTAAAACTTGCGCTGAAGACGTTTTCCAGAAGGACGACGAAAGCTTCGCAATTAAACCAACCAGCTAAGGGAACCCAACTAATTCCAAATCATCCATCTGAGCTACAAATCTCTATTACTGCCCTAATGTGTTAATATTCGAATATATATATATATATGTTGGTTCATTTCAAACATCTATTTAAAGATGCCGTATAGATGGAAATCAAAAGTATTCGTTCTGAAAGATTCCGAATAGGAGATCTCAAAGAAAAATTCAGTTATCGTTTACCTGATGTACATAATATTTTAAAACAAAGCGAAGCGAATGATCATATTACCTCTGAATTCAAAAATATAGTAGACGACTTGTCAGTATTTGACCAGCTTGAAAAAGATTGCAGGTAGGCTTCGCGTTAATTTTCATCATTTAACTCAGTTTAGAGAATTTACATTATGATGGTGAGTATACAACCTTAGAGGAAATCCTGAAAATTATACCTGCACGAAAACCTAATGATATGCAGTTCAATACTTTGGCTGACTTAAAGAAAGAAACTGAAGGCCTTAATTCCAAAACATCAGTTCTTGCAGCCACACGAAGAATTCCCCGCCCTTTTATTGACATGTCGTATAGAAATTCTGTGGAGGAGTCTTTGGAAGCCACAGAAGTCAACCAGGATATATTCGTTACGGTCCTAATCTACAGACCACTTTGTCTCCCCACCTTAGACCCATGTGTACAGGTACTGTCATTATTCATATACAAGCTTAAAAGTCTCGACAATTAGTCATTACCCAGAGGCTGGTACTTTTGTCCAAACAGAATCTTACAGTTCTAAGGGACGCTATAAAGTGCCCACAAGATAAGGTAAACATATTTTTTTTATCTCATTTGTTTTCAGGTCTGGTTGGGTGACTGTAGTGAAGCACTTGATAATCCAGAATTGCATGTATCTGCAGATAAACTGTACACCTCGTCGTACTTTTTTATTGAGGGAACATTTTACGATGATTTGCGGAATCCAAACAGTAAAAGCCTTAGTCAGTAGGTTGTCTATTATGCTTATCTTATTCTATAGGGAGGTTGTTCAGTGGGCTAAAAGTAAGAAAGAGCTCGAATGTTATGGACCTTTCGCATCATCATCAATGCAGTCAGTAAAGCTTGAAGACCTGTCGATTTGTGTCGGAAAACCATACTTTTTTGTTCATCAAGGAAATTGTGAACACATGATGATTTTTTCAGACATTCGGTAGGTTACATTATCATCAATAGACGTTAAAACAAACTTCTTGAATAACTAACTGGATATTAATATAAGCGTACTTTCACTACTTACTAATCCACTAGTTTAGTGGAACATATGCACATCAGCTTATAGTTAGTAACAATGCAAAGAACATCAAAATCCAGGTTTAGCTGAGACATTTAGCCTCAAAAAACCTGGTATATTGGTTTACAGTCAATCTACAAAGGTTCATCAGTTGTGAAATAACGGTTTCGACAGTGCTGGTATAATGTTTTAGAGACCGTGCCGAAGAAGTGTTCACAATGCACCGTGAAACTAGGTGACATTATACTGATTTGTTTGTGTTGTTTCCTCATCTTTATTGTCTTCAGTTTCACTCAAAAAGGCATGAGTTTGGTAGAAAAACTAATTGACTCTATTGTAGTTATACTTACGGGTGAAATACGAGTTTCTTCTAAACAATAAAGCAAACTATTATGGATTTATGTCATATCATATTTATTGGATAGGGGATAGAAGTACTGTAACAAGTGTGCCTGTGAGGAACATTTCCGTAATTAATTCATGGCCTACCAGGTAAAGAAATAGATCACTATTAACATATCTGACAGACTTCTTACACCAGTGAAATGAACTATATTCCGACGGTTGCCCACAGTCTGCACTTATACAAGTGCAGTAAGGAACTTTTTATATGCCACACAATGCGGTAATGTCATTAATAGTTGTAGAAGCAATCGTGTTTAAAACAGTAATACTAAAGCAGAATAATCACAACTTTGATTTATTATAACATATCAGAGCATTAAATCATAAGGCGGACTCTAGATGCTTTGAAAGTAGCGAATTAACCACTCTTGGCTACTTAATTGTCTGGATGTACTGAGATCTCAACAGACTTGCTAACAGATTCAGCTTCATTAGGCCTCGTATTGTCCCTGTAACCCATACTTGTACCGAACCGTAGGACTTTTAAATAGGAGAATTTCTGAGATCAAACTTCATAGCATATTCTACTATCAACTATAATGCATTTACTTATGTATAGAACAATTCGATGAAGCAAACTAACGACATTGTATCGGATTGGGGATATTATTATTTTATGTTGATTAAGTATATATTCATAGTAATTAAACAAGTAAAAATATTATTACGTTACATTTCTTCCGTTTCTATTTTCTTAGCTTAATCGATCGAGATTCATGTCAGAATGAGTCTTCCTTCCCTATGCTTACTGGCCGGTGTAGTACACGCGTGTTACATTGTCTCGTTTGTAAACGTCTTGCATCTCGTTGGTTGGTTACACAATGTGACACTCTTCTACCTGTTGATCCATGCCCTATATGTGACGTGTGCATACGAATGTTACTATACACCGCAGATGGGAAAAAGATTAATCCAAATTTTAGAGTTTACATGTATTGTGGAGAGGAGGTTGTTGTATAAGGCTGTATGTAAATTATGTGAATAAACGCTCTTTTAAAAAGTACTGTATACTTCTTACTAACTAGTGTTGAAATATTCTACACGAAAATGTCTACAGTGCTTTAAGTGGTAATTTACACTGTAAACTATTTCTTGCTTATTTTAGACACTGTAAGTCTAATGGGATTTCCTCAAGATGACAAAGGTAGCGACTCCAATGCAGATAAAGTTGCAGCTGCTACATTTAGTGTTTTGTCAGAAATATCAAGTCTTTTAAATACAGGTAAATATGTTTCTAGTTTTTTTCAAAAGTTGTATTCATCACCGTTACACCGATTATAATGAGAAAGCTGAAAAGGTGACCAACTTGCATCATTGAAATTATGGATGTTACTCAACTACTTGTAATCGTAAACATTTGGCAACAAGCCAAACTTATCGGTTGAAGATTGTTAATACTAAGGGTTATTGAATATGATATAAGCCATTCCTAGAACATAGTGGGTATTTTTTATATTATGTGTAGAGTTACATAGTCTTCTTCGACTGCTTAGCCCTACATATCGGCTTTTCTATCAACGGATTAATTTTGAATTAAAGTAAAACCATGAGTTAGTGCGTTTAATGCTTTCTACCAAAACGAATGCTTCAAATTCTACAGGATGATAATCATCGCAGGACTGTAACACAACAAATCAATTCATACTAGCATTGCCTCATCGCCTGTGTCTTAGTCTATATTAAACACAAACATCCTACCTGAAAGCCAGTTTTTACACTATCTCAAACATTCAGATTGCAACTCAAGGTGTTCAGAAGACTGTGTTTTGTCAGAGTCAAGTGAATCCCTGAGTCTCTGAAGTGAGTTGGGGTTAAGTCCATTAGTACATCTATGGTGAAATTAAAGACCAATGGGGACAGTGAGCAGGGCATCCATAATGGACACCACTGATTGTCACCAGTTAAGATGACAACTCGCCGTAAGCTTTTACCTGGCTGCATGAGTTCGAGTAGAGTGCCTTGATCAGTGCAATGTATTTTCTCGGCATTCCTTTTACAGTCAAACGTCGCCAGAGTACCTCTCGGTCGACAGAATCGAATGCCGCCTTCAGGTCAAGAAATATGACAATTGTTGGACGCCGGTAAGTATTCCTACGTTCCAGAATCTGTCGAAGGGCGAAGATGTGATCAGTACACCCTCTTCCTGGTCTAAAGTCTGCCTGGTTCTCTCCTGTTTGTGCCTCCCAAGCATTATTACTGAGCCTAGAACTTTAGATACCATATTAGTCAAGCTAATCCCCCTGTGATTATCACAGGAAGACCTGTCTCCCTTTTTGTATATGGGGATAATCAGTTAATTACACCAACCTGACGGGACTTCCTCTGATTCCCAGACGCTGCCTAGTACCTTAGTTAACGCAGACAGTAAACTGTCTCCACCGTACTTAAATACCTCTGGAGTTATTCCATCAGGTCCTGCTGCTTACACTATCTCAACTTAAAAGCTAATGACTTTCCATATTTTCTATAGATTTCTTATAAAAACTTTTCAACACGTAAACACCTGTTATCCATTATCCCCTCCTCCCCGCCCTGCCCCCATAAAAACTGTAAACTATGCACATAACGTCGGAGTTGTTTGCAGCTGACAATAACTATCACTTTTCTTTGTTATTATAGGTTTGGACAATGAAGAATTACTGATGTGCATCAAACTAATCGAGAATGGTGTTAATCCAACCACTTTAGCTATGCTTGTAAATAATATAAAACAACAATGCGAACTTATGTCTGAGTCGAAACGAGTCTAAACTAGACTTTTTTTCATTGTGCATATTTAAGAAAATGATTCATTTAAGTAAAGATTACTAATTATTGTTTGGAATAACAAATACATATTAAAGAGTATGAACAATTTGTCCATATTTATTTAAGATCACAGTTATCCGAGGGGTGTAAACAACAACCTTTTTTTAAACAAGACAATTTGTTTTCTTTTATGTGTGTGTGTGTGTATGTGTAAACAACGTGATTACCAGCAATCCAATGTAAGAAACAAGAAGAATTCATACAATACATAAGTAGAATCGAAGTCAAAATAAGTAATAATATTAATAGTAAAGCAAGCAATTGTATGTGTACTATTGTCGTCAACCTATAGCATCGGCTATTATTCGGCTTACACTGGGATCAGATGAACGAACAGTGATTTGGAAGGTGATGCCTTGTTCATTTGCATGAGATGTATCTGATAACACTTTGGCTAGTTTACATAGTGCCAAAATTTCATATCCCCCACGAAAAACACCAGATAACAACAATTGATGAGATGATTTCCCTTCCTGAGGCATATGATCAGTTTGATCACACGGTTGAAGTCCAAGATGTTCGATAATTTGCCGCATTGTTTCTAGGCATTCAAAAAAGGCAATTTTTCTGATGATTTATTGTTATTGAACACTTAAAAAGAAATTTTATTGTGCGAATATATTTCGTAGCAATCGTATTTAAAACATAACACCTACATTAATCTACTGTCCCAGTTAACAAAATCGGCAAGCCTGAGGACGATACTTACTCACAGAACAGGAAGAAACACAATTTTCTACTGAGTAAGAAATGATGAAAGGTCTAGAATTTGTATTAAACATTGTTGCAATATACAGAGTACGTTTTTCGTAGAAAGCACCCGTGCGACATAGAATGTTGAACCCTGGTAAAAGAACTGACTGTATGCGACATAACGTCGACATCCCCATCTTATTGCAAATATGCCTGCTGACAAATAGCCAAGACAAACCGTCTTATTATGATCACCTTTTGTAATCCTTTCCTATAGTTTCGCAGCTGTTTGTATTTGTTTGGTGTTTACTACATAGTAACAGCGTCCACTATCGGGTTCACTGATGGACTGCACTGCAACTTTGTTTAAGCTAAATCTTCGATGACGCACGTATAGAGACTGCTCATATTAAAAAATGGCATGTAACGATGAACAGATAATAATAAGTCCTATAAAGAAAGTGACTATACCTTTGATTGTCTTGTGCTTTACTAACATATATGTTTCTTCCACTTCACTTTCTGGATTGAGTTCTTGCCAAGCCATGGTGAAGTTTTGCTTAGAGATGCGTTGCACGTGGTCCGAAATTCCAAGGACCAGGTCTTCCAGCTGAAACAATATTTTAATTAACAACAATTAGTTAGCAGCGAATCATGTGATAGACGAGAAAAAAAGTATCTTCCATGTAGGCTATCGCTACCGGAGGAAGACTGTCACAAATATGATAAACTGTATTGATGCAGGAATAACCTATGTTCAGTCCAGCTTAACTCTCTGTTAGTCATTTTTGGAATAGGGTTATTAGGCTAATGACAAAAAACTCTAATTCAATGTTAACAATTGGTTTTTGACAGTCTGTGTGATTATTTATCGAGATTCATCGGCAATCTTTGGAAGAATCACTTGCAGTGCTAATCTATCAGTAGACTTTTAAAGACTACCGCTAAATAGTCTCATCTCAGGAAAGACTTCTTGGGTAAAATATATAGATTGATACAGATATGATGGAGATTTGTAGCTCAGGTGGATGATTTTGATGTGGTTGTGTTCTCTGAGCTGGATAGTTAATTTGCGGAGCTTTCATCACCCTACTAGGTGGCATCTTCAGCGCATACTTTAATTTGAAGTGAGCTTTTAGATTTCTCCACGACTTTATTAATCATCTCTCCCGGTGACCTTGGGTGTGATTGGTTGTTTTTGTGTGTTTTCACACCTTCTAGGCTACTTGTATTGATTGATACATCTTTTTACCAACCACCGTGCATCGGCGATTCAGTGCCTGACCAACGCACTACTCCTAAACCTCGCCTAGTTTACTAGCCGATAGTAAGTCCAGTAAAAAAAGGGAAGGCTAAAGAACCCTCCTGGAAAAACAATACGGTTACAGAAGCCTCAAAAAGCTCGAAACTTTATGTCTCACTCGGAATTGAAAAAAGTGCTGTTCTGAATATGTAAGAATGAAAGAAAAAGTCTATGTGATAATGTTATCTTGAAATTTACTTCTGTTGTAGTTAAAATTAGCGGAAGGTGTTATTTGCTTTGAAGGCTAACAAAAAAGCCTACAAAATTTTCTGTCATCCATAGGCAAGTTATTAATTTATCAAACACAAAAAAGATCACTCATTTCCACTCACTTGATATTCATCTGACAGACCAGGATCTGATGGATCAGAGTCTACATCTTTAATTCTAAACTTTAATGTATTCATAAATGTAGCAGAATGGTATTCAAGGCTTTCTGGTAATTTAATTAAGACATAAGTTACACCAGGAGAATTATATTTCAAAGTTTTACATGGTATTGTGCGTAAGATATCAAAGGCTGAATCGTCTGGTTCACAGGAGACGTAAACATCTTCTAAAATTTGATCTCCCATTGTGTTAGTACAATCAAACTGGAATATAAGATGTCAAAGAGAAAGAGAATTTGAATTTATTAATCTGATAAATCATAACTGAAGTTCTGATGTACACATCACTTTCTAATTATGCTTATTCAATTTGTCTACATGATATCAAAAGTTAAATAATTATAGGTGTAGCTGAACAATGTACGAGAAAGAATGCCCAAGCGATAAAACAACATTGAACCTAGTCATGGACTACAACATACTCCATAAAAAACAATTTTTGTTAAAACCACGAGAGTACATTTTGGTTCTTTAATTCTTAAAAAAGAAGAAGGACTAAAAAATCTATATAGTAGTTTGTTAAATCTGAATTTGATTAATCCTCATTTGAACACAATACCCTTACCACTATATTTCTTCAATAAGACTTAATAACAAGGAGTGTTTCACTTAAGATGGCATGTCCACTGCAGCAGCAAGAACAATGAACTTACTTCAAATGAAATTTTCCACACTTCTGCTTCCTTTATACTTTCACATAGTCAATTTCGCATCATCTATGGAATGAAACAAGTCACTGACTTATTAGTTCACTTTTTGATAAACCATTGGCTGCTAATGTTCTGAGGATTTATGACATATCTTGATACTTTATGATCACAGTTATCATTTATATTATAAAGGCTTGGATAATTTGTCTGACAGATCAGTTCCTCAAACTCGACTTTTAATATCTAGGTCATTCAAATTCGTTGAGATGTAACAGGATTTTCGACCTGACAACAAAGCTTGCACTTGAATAAGAATCAGTGATATACTGGAGCAATTGAAGATGTATTTCTCTGGAATGGCAGGAAAAAGCTAATAAGTATCAGTTGCCTTAAGGCTATTTACGAGTTTGACATTTACATCTTCCTTCACAACGTCTTCTTGAAGTTCAATCGATGTATTCCATAGTATTTCTCTGCTCATCTTCTGACAGTCCAAATAACGTATGTGTTCTTAGTGAAATGTATCTTTTTATCTCTAGTAAGTGAGTTTCTCTCGTCACTTACATTCAGCAAGTGACTTTCCGAAGGACAATGATTTTGATGGATATGATTGCGACAAAGACATTGCCAGTGAGGCTTAGAATATTTTTCAGAAAACTGATTCTAGTGTGCCCTATGAACAGTTTAACAGAAAACTCGAGAAGTCCTTTCACTGTAACCGGGTTCTTGCTCCGTTTCAAAAGACCGAAAAATGCCCAAATCATCGTTATTTGAAAAGTCACACGTTGAACGTAAACTATATAGAGAAAATCTCGCTTAACAGAGTTAAAAAAGATACATTTCACTAAGAACACATATGTTATTTGGACTGTCAGAAGATGAGCAGAGAAGTACCATGGAATACATCGACTGAACTTCAAGAAGACGTTGTGAAGGAAGATGTAAATCTCAAAATTGTAAATATCGTATATATATATATATATATATATATATATATATTCTGAATTTCTTAGTTCCTGACCAAAAATTTGTGATGGACTGAAGGCAAACGAAAGAAGTTAATTAGTATTGTAGTCATTTATGGTATGAAGCTACTCCACTTGATCGTGTAATATAGTTTTCTTTTTCACTTGTTTTAGTAAAACAACTCACTTATAGTCTTAAACATTTTTGACTTACCTGTAAAACCAAGTGATTTAAGAATAAGTGTTTTACACATGTCACTACATATTCAGTATCTGATTCAGTTAGTTCAACTGGTGCGGAGGATTTAAAGATGGGACCAAGACCAGCAAATTCAGGTATGGCTGCCAATTGTTCAGCATAGGTATCTTGAGTGCGTTTCCTTTGTGTTTCAGAAGTAAGCGATGCGTTTCGATCATCACCAGTTTTTACAGTTGGCTTCGCTAAAGATGAAAAATAAAATTTATCAGAAATTCATTTCATAGTTGAAGAGGAAACTGTTGAGAAAAATAGAATTTCAGCAATATTGTTGATTAGTCAAGATACTGGTTTGTCTAATGAACTCTGTTCAAAAATATACACCCAAAACGACTGAATCAAAGAGTCAACTTTTTCCCTTCCTTGGTGCTTCGAGTGGGACGTAAGGCTTCATTAGTGGTGAGTGTTATTTTTACAGGGTACGGTTGTTCACTGTCGGCTTTTAAACTAGGCAAGGTTTCGGAGTGCATCAATCGGGAATAAACCCTGAACCACGCGCGTGGTTAGCGAGCATTCCGCTGCTGAACTACCGACAAGGAGGATAAACTATTTAAACTGTTACTTTCGAAGATGAAACAGTCGTATACACTAAAGCAATTTCGGATAAACGTCAAATAATCAGTGCATGAAACCTTGGTGGGTGGAGCAGGGTCTGAACTCGTGACCCGATGGTTAGAGGTTGAGCACCTAGACTAATAACCCACAGCTGCACACGTTTAGTACTGTCACCCATGAACGGCAACCTGGTTCTTACCTTTAACTTTTACACCGTCAGATTCCAGGTCAGCAGTAAGGGCATCTACAGCAGGTTGGACAACAGCAGCAATCGGAACTGTAGCCAATGAAAAACGATTGCTTGCAACCGCTTGAGAGTCATGTACATAATCCAATAAGGCACGCTCCAAACCTGATGGACTCAGGTGCATTTCTTCACTCAAAAGATAAGCAGACTTTAAAGTGGGTTGATCAGTTGATAAAATGTAGTGATAAAAAGCTGCCCGATCACGAACTTCATCGTCCTCATCAATCATAATTCTAAACAGTAATGGAAAAAAATAGGGGGATAGAGTATAACTATTCCAAGTTAAAAACAGAACATATGCTTACAACAGACTGTATTCACTGGGAAAGTGAAACCGACAAAGTACACGGATCAGAAGAATGTCAAGAAAAAAGAATAACAATCACATGCACGGTCAACTCTCATATAAATGAAAGAAAAAAGTTGTGTGAGTAACTTGATATGATTATGAGCAGTAGTTTGTGCTCGAAACGTCATCAGTTAATATTACTGTACAACACTATGTGATTCATCAAAATAAAATCTCGTCCATAATGAAGTTATGCTCTACCACAGTGCCAAAGTTTTATACGGATATCAGATCTCAAGGAAATGCACCACCAGAAAATAAATGCATCCATCTTTCATCACTATGTCTGATGTTACTATTTTCAAGACATTTTTGTCCGCAATCCATATTTCCATGAATGAGACTACAATGAGCTAGCACAATCTTAATGCTGGATACTTTTACAAGTTTGTACCTTGAGAAGACAGTGATCATCACAATTGAAAATTTTATTAATTAGACTACTCTTCAGCTGCATATATTTCACGATCTATAAATATTTTTTCAGTTCTGACTGAGTATCTTTCAATTACCAGTAACAGGATAATGCTTACTCTATTATAATACAAGTAATTATACTTAGTCATAAGTATTAGGTGACGCTATGAAAACTGCAATATATATATATATATATATGTATCGTGGGAAAACATAAGGGTCTAGTGGGTATGGGAGTTCACTAAGAGTGAATACACCCGCACCACTAAGAACAACGTTTAGGCATATCAACAATAGTCTCCAGTCATTGGTTCTTATAATCTCGAGGTCTCCCAACCAGTCTAGCTCCAAAAAAACTGTCAAAGGCTTCTTCGACAGACGCGATGTTTTGGTTTGGACCAAATTTAACTGTTTTCCAACTTAATCCTATGTCAGTTCACATAGCTCATCGAGTGAGGCAGTGGCTCGGCTTGCACAACATGTGCCCTAGCCATCTCAATCGATTTGGCTTCCAATCTCATCGGTCATCACCTGCACTGCTACGTAAATCTGGTACTTCTTTTCATTGCTTCTTCACCACTCAATATAACTGGTTGCACTACTCCAATGAAATGCATTTTACAATAATCTGAAGTAAAGAGATCAGGCCTGCTAAACACTAACGATATTACTAAGTATTCATTTTTTAATAAATAATGATTCTTTTACAACTAAAAATCCATAAACTAGAGATGACATGGTAACATTATGATGCACTTATTTCTACATAAATTTGGCTAGAGTAAAAATCTGTAGAACTGGTGACAAGTATAATTCATTTGTAAACTCGTCAAACAAATTATCCTTTTAATATGCTATCAACACTTACTCTAATTTTCAAGTATTGGTTTGGTAGGGATTTTGTTTAATTGTATGGAGGATTTCATCACTTACTCTAATTGACTACAGGTTGACATAGCACACACAGATTTCAGTTGTCAGGAAATTTAGACTTCCTGACATTAATAGAAGAGGCATTCAGTGAAGAGTTACTCTTTTCAGCGATGTCATTCAAAATCACACAAATATGATACACTGTAATAGTAAAGAAAGGGATGTGATTGCACAGTCTGAGAACGATATCACTGAAAAGAGTAACTTTTCGATGAAGATCTCTTCCTTTTCGACATTAATCTACGTTTATTATAACATTTCACGTGAAAAACTAGCAAAAAAAAACTCGCCATACCGTTTAAGAAGCACTAGAATACTAGGAAGTAATTCATCATTATGTGCAGCAAATCTGGCAAGAGCTGTTGTAGCTGTGCACTTGATGGGAGCTGATTCAAGCATAACTCTATTGTAAATATAACGGGTGAATTGACGTGGTCGTTTCAGAAAGGGTCCTTCACGTCCCAATAAGTGAAGTATACGTTGGGTGAGTTTAACATGTTCACAATCTTCTATAAACTCGCATAACTGTAACAGACCTAAAATTTTTAAAACATGTAAAAATCAAGGGTGTAGACTATTGTTTAGTAAGGAAGAGAGAGTTAATCTAACAAAAATGAAAATTATTTCTAGTTAATTGTAAAGAGAAAAAAACAATAATAAATGCAGTGTTTAATTTAAGGATTTTGTATACTTCAAAAAAGTGTGATTCACCCTTTAGATTCAAACTACAACTACCCTTTTATATTAAATAACTTCCCTACTTAACAAGCCTATACTTTCTGCAGGGTGGAGGGGGAAGACAATACAACAACAATAGTGTAGAATTTTGGTAAGGAATTAATCTATTTAAACTCACACAAGCTACAACTTAAAATACATATAATTTCCAACTAGAATTATATCAGTTAAAGCAACAAACAAACATTATAATTCCCCTCAATAGTTGTTGTGTTTGTGTTGAAACAGATATCTCATTATTCTCCTAACGTACACTGATTTGCCTAAAAGGCTTCACGTTAAAAAAAATACAACCAAATTAAGCCGTTTAAAAGTAATTAAAAATCAAAAGAGGTCACTTAGAAGTACGATTACACTTAGTTTACTTCTGCTTGTATATTTAACTGAAAATATTAAATGCATTACATAAATTGTAGCTTACATTCGGGTGTGTTTAATTATAGTGAAGTTTAGATTCAACGATTTATATTTGATTGACACTATTCCCAGCCTTTGATAATCAAGTTTTCAAATCTTATTATTTTTTTTATTATAGCTTGAAACCACACAGTATTGTTGGTACAAGTATGGAATTTTCAGCATGTGATATCGGTAGCCCAAATTCTGCAGGCCGACCATAGATATCGGGTGTGCGTCGGCAGGAGGTCGAACTCCGGACCATGTGCATGGTCGACGAGTCTTAACCGCTGTGCCACCGACGCACCTGGGTTTGTACAATCAGACTCAGTCTTACCTATACATTACCCATATTGACTTCATAATAGTTTCACTATCGAATGAAGTGTCCCAAAAGCTCAGGTCGGTCGGTCGGTCGGTTTTCGACATAGAACTTTGCACTGATGTGCGGCAGTTCAAGTCGCCACAATCTATGTAGCACGCAACGCAAGAGAAGGAAGTAGAAGAAATGCATAATGGAAACAGTAAACAGAGGTGTGAGACAAAGGAATAGTAATAACGGAGAACAAAACAGTTTAATTGGAAATCATAAGTCACAAGGAGTGGATGCATCTGCGCCACTGAGAACGATTTTGAGCCATGTCACCAATTGTTTCCAACCATTGGTTTTTACCGTCCCGAGGACCCCAACCAGGAAGTCTACATCTTCCTACGTGGCTTAGATTAACTGTTGTAGATTTCATTGATTGGTGCCATGTTTTGGTTTGACCGCCGCTAGCTCTTTTCCAGCCTGGCCCTATATCAGCTAACATTGCCCGTCGAGGAAGGCGATGACTAGGCATACGTAGCACATGTCCTAACCATCTCAGTCGAAGTAATTTCACCGTTTCGTCGATTGATTTCCCCGCCTTACCTAGCACTCGACGCCTAACCTCAATATTGCTCACCTTATTATACCACTTCACGCGGGAGATGGAACGCAGACACCTATGATCGAAGACAGCTAATCTTTTCATGTCTTCTGCTCTCAATGGCCAGGTCTCGCAGCCATAAAGGAGGACGGAGCGGACTGATGAGCAGTACACACGCCCTTTGGTCGATAGTCGGATATCGCGTCTACGCCAGAGACGGCGTAAACTGGCGTATGCGAACCTAGCCCTCTGTATTCGTGCTGAGATTTCGTCGGCGATCAACCCGTTGGGGCTGATGGTACTTCCCAAGTAATTGAAGTGGTCAACGTGTTCTACCACTTCACTTCCTATTTCTAATCTAGGGGTCGATGAGGTCCAATCCTGCAGCATCATCTTACATTTTACAGGGGCGAATCGCATGCCAAACATACGAAGATTGTTGCTCAGGGTGTTCAGTAGACTCTGCATTTTGTCAGAGTCCTCGCCTAGAAGGACTATATCGTCCGCATATTCTAAGTCAACGAGATTATTCCCTGGTAGCAAGTCAATCCCTGAGTCGCTGAAGTGTGATAGGGTTAGATCCATTAGTACGTCTATGATGAAATTGAATAGGAATGGGGATAATGGGCATCCTTGACGGACGCCACTAGTCGTCACCACTTCAGATGACAACTCGCCATAAGCCCTCACCTGGCTGCATGAGTATGAGTAGAGTGCCTTAATCAGTGCAATGTATTTTCTTGGCATTCCCTTTACAGCCAAGCATCGCCAGAGAACCTCCCGGTCGACAGAATCGAAAGCCGCCTTTAGGTCAAGAAATATAATGATTGTCGGACGCCGGTAGGAATGCCTATGTTCTAGAATCTGTCGAAGGGTGAAGATGTGATCAATACACCCTCTACCTGGCCTAAAACCTGCCTGGTTTTCTCGTGTTTGTGTCTCCCGAGCACCACTTAGTCTACGCAGTATTATTGAGCCTAGGATTTTAGATACTATATTAGTCAAGCTAATCCCTCTGTGATAATCACAAGACGACTTGTCTCTCTTCTTGTATATCGGGATGATCAGTGACTTACACCAACCCGATGGGACTTCCTCTGATTCCCAGACGCTGCCTAGAACCTCAGTTAATGCAGACAGTAAACCGTCTCCACCGTACTTAAATACCTCTGGAATCATTCCATCAGGTCCCGCTGCTTTGCCTAGCTTCAGATTGGTGACAGCTTTAGTAACCTCAGTTAAGGATGGAGGACCTGTGTCTATCTCCCATTCAGGGAGGTGTTGGATGTCCGGCAGGTTAAGTGTGGCTGTGGGCCAATTAAATTGCTCTTCATAGTGTTCTTTCCAGCGCTCCAGACGACTATCCTGGGAGCTAATTATGGTGCCATTTTTCTCGGAGATTGTTTCGCTTATCATTTGCCTTTTACCACCTGTTTCCCTGATAAGCCTGAATAGTTGTCTGGTGTTGCCTATCGCCGATGCTTTTTCTATCTCTTTCGCCTTTGTCAACCACCACTGTTCACGGTCCTTGCGGAGACTTTTCGTAAGTTTCTTTTTGTGCAGCTTTCGCTCCTCATTGAATTCGGAGCTCGCCGGAATAAGTCTTCTAGCATCTATCAGTTCGGATGAGGCAGTCGAAATCCAATGGTTTTTACTCACCTTTGGATTTACCTTATTCACAGCTTTTACAGCTGTATCTATGGCTGACTGAATATTTTTCCAGGCTTCTTCAGGGTGAGCGCAGCTGTCGAACTCAGATATGTGTTTAGCTAGTTCTTCCTCAAATAGGGACTTGGTTTCCTGATCAAGCTGGGGACGTGATGGGTTTACCGCCAGCTGTTTCCTACGTCCGTTCAGTCGTAAGCACATACGAGCGCGGACCAGTGCATGATCGGTATCTACACACGTGTTCCAGAGGGAGCGACAATCTCCTACCGACCCACGCCAACGATAGCTTATTGCTATGTGGTCTATTTGTGTCCAGCGTTGATTTGATGATGGGGGTCGCCAGGTCAAACAGTGTCTCTCCTTGTGTTTGAAGTTAGTGCTTACAAGATACAAATGATTATCTGAACAGAAATGAAGGAGACGGTCACCGTTGTCGGTTCGCTGGCACGGAATTCCGTATGTGCCACCGACATTCTTCTCAGATTGACACAATTTCCCTACTTGAGCATTAAAGTCACCAGCTATAACGACTATATCTGAGCGTCTAGCCTTTCGCAGCAAACTAGACAGCTTTTGGTAGAACTCATCCTTCGTTTCATCCGAAGTGCAGTCAGTGGGGGCGTAGGCGGAGATTACGAAAAGGCATCGGCGAGTAGTGCAGTCCTTTCTTCTTTTCACTGATCCGTTCAGACGGACAGCACACATTCGGCTATCTACCGGGATCCAGTCAAGTAATGTCTTTTCTGCTCTAGTACTTAAAGCTATCCCAACACCAGCTAATCCTCGAGAGCTAGCCGTCGCATCTCCTGACACCCTCAAGGTGAATTTTGCAGATTCATCCTGTTGGCCAGGTGGGGTTAGGTGAATAACCACACTTGGGTCTTGTATGCGTGTTTCTGAAACACAACATACATCAATGGCTCGGGATGCCAGAGTCTTGGCTAGTGATGCTTGTTGTCCTATTTGGCAAAGTGTCCTAACATTAAATGCTCCTACATAAAATTGGTGGCGTGGTTTTAGGAGACCATCGATGGTGGCTTTTTGGCTTCCATCGTTGTCAGTGCATACAGATTGAAGAGGAAGTGAAGAGCCATCAAGTAGAGGAGTTGCATTGGTAGAAGGAAGGCAAGATAATAGAGATGAAGATGAAGACGAAGATGAGCGAGGATTAGAGGGGTTTCGCGTGCACTTCGGATTGTGAGGGCGGTTGTTACTTCCCGGCTGCCCACACCGTGGAAGTTGGTTGCGTGACCGCAGAGCCCAGGGGACAACTGCTTGAGGCCGGTCACACACGGCCTGTTTTTGTTTGTTCTTTTTTGTTTGGTGTGTCTCAGTAGCGTATTTATCACTTCTGCCCTGTGACACGGCAGCAGAAAGCGCGGTCGTTGTTAATCCGGGCCCCAACCGATCCGGCATGATATTTTGTGATGTATTTGAAATCATAGGATTGGATTGGGTAACTGCTTTTAGTCTAACTGCTATCCAAGCAACCTTTCTGGCATGGTAGGACCTGCAGGAACATAAGTTCCAGCCAGTATAGCTTGTTGGGTCATTGCAGTGTTCAAGCCCGACCACCACGTCAAGGTAGCAGCTTTCGGTCGGGAATAATTTGGCTAGCTGAGTTTGTTTAAGCCTGCTACACCCGGTATTCCCAGCCGGTCACCCATGCAAGTACTAACCGGGCCCAACGTTGCTTAACTTCGGTGATCGGACGAGAACTGGTGCTTTCAACGTGGTATGGTCGCCGACCAACGTGGTATGGTCGCTCAGCGCATACATGAACATTTGTTGACGTTACAGTGCTGGTCGATTACATTGTCTGGTTGCCTAAACTCTGGGTAGTACAGCTGGATTTGAACTCGCGAACAACTGGTTGAAAATTTAGTGCCACAGCCAAGGTATCTAACCTAAATAACTAAGCCTCGGAATTCATACGTAAGTGACATTTACTAGAGACAAACCCAAAAATGACGGGATGGACGGAGTCATACTGCTAAATGAAAATTACAGGTGATAACAATGACCTGGACAGCATCGTTCCAACTACAGACAGCACGGATAAAGATGCCAAAGCCAAGACCGAAAAAGCAAAACAGACTTTCCATTAGTCTGAAATTAGTATTGAGATTCACATCACTCAGAACGAGGAATAGGACACGAATTCTAACACTAATGTTTAGTCAGTTCTTCTACATGCTTTAAAGACTTGGTACATCACAAAAAATATTTCCATCAACAGCAGCTCTCGTTCCATACTGATTATTAGATGGCCAGGAAGGATAAGCAACAGGGAACGAATCAGCAAAGAATCAATCGCCCAAAAAACATGCAGAAGAAAATGGAAGTGGATTGGTCATCACCAGCCAGGCCCTCGAATGGGAGACGGCGAGTTGAGAGTCAGAGGGAGACATGGAGGATATCGTGTCAGGGAATGAAAGCTTATGGACGATCGTGCAGCCAGTTAAAGAGGACTACAGGGAACAAGATTGAAAATAGAAATGTGCTGCGGAAGCCCTACGCTCCACTCGGAAACGAAGGGAGTAATAACAATAGATGCAATGTCTACTTCAGGAATCATAACGTTCTACTACCTACATAGTAATGGAAAGCTGAGTATTAGAATTATGAGAGGAAGTATCTTAAAGTTGTGGAGTTACATTTGTCTTGATTATAGAAAACAGCAGGTCAGGTATGGGGACAAATACTCCCCGATGACACCAGCTAGTGGTCGCGATATATTATGAATTGGCAGAAGCTTTCTTAGTTTTAGTTTTAAATGTCACTGAGTACACAGATGTGTGGTAATTCTATTGACAATATAGAATGACATACTACCGAATAGCTAGATTTGTACACTTGCATTATATCTTCAGGAAAAAATCATTTAATCTACTCACAACATACAGTCCTATAAGCAGAATTTTATCTATAATTTACTTGGATAGGCTACCCCGAAATCGATAAATTTAATGTCCATAAAACTAATCTATACCTCAACCGAGCTATGCATGAGGATGCATTTAAATGCGTATAGTACATAATCAGATTCTATTTATCTCTTAGAAGATGAACGTTTTAGAAAAGTTTTATTAACATTTTTTAAAAATGTGATTTACCTATACTTTTGGATTCTGGAATTTGTTTGATAATTGATTCAATAGCAACTACAACTGCTTTCTTAAATGTATAACCAGCTGAATCACGAAGGAGTCCAGACAAGAAATTCAATAAGACAGTATACTTTTTGGGATATTTTGTCGCCAATGCACGAATAGAATCCAATACCACAATTTTGAATTCATCGCTTATTTCATTCATGAACGGAGATACGTGTTTAAGAAGACGTTCAACATTTGATTCATTACCAGTCTATAAATAAATAACACTTGGAAATAAGCTTTGCTCAAAATGACAACATATTCATGTGGGATTATTAAAACACATGTTCTTAGAGTTCAACTACCTAGAACATATTTTTCTATGTACCAGGCTAAGAGCCACACTTATTGTGTGAGGACTGATGGTACTACTTAGTTTCCCAAGCTTAAGTAAGTGGAGTTGGACTCGAATCCGTGTGTTTCATCGGTTGGAAGCTGACTGCCAGTGAGCCACATTTTTATTTGCTAACACAACACATTTTTGCACCATACATTTTGAAATATGCAAACTTGTAATAATGACCGTTATACAACTTATAATGCGGAAGTCTTTTTTCATACATCTCAAATAACCACCATTTTCCTACATATTTAAATTTATATTCACTTATGTTTTTGGATTACATGTCTGTCCTCCGTTGTCCTATCTCTTTTGTCTCCCATTAGAATAAACTTTATAGTTCATTTGGATAAGTTTATTTCAAATACCACACGGTGATACAGTACTAATAGTTGGATGACGTTTCTAGCAGGATCTATCGCTCAATAATTATTCACATGGCTTCATGATTTGCTATATATATGTATTGTTTCTCTTTATATCTTTCCCTTGTTGTTTGTTACTACTTCCCATATATCCGGTATGGGTGTCGCACTATTTCGATTGCACGTGTGCGGTGTTGAATCGATAAGCAAAGATTTAGTGAATAACCTCTCTCCACTAAACTATATTAATTTTCAATACTTCCACTCTGTCCCACCCTATTTTGCAACTACATGCAGGTAAATGCTATGTAATGACCGAGCTTTTTTCTAGGTTATTTAACTTAGCAGGGTCTAGCTAAATTTTTATGTTCCAATAATCTCATTGACCCCAACCAACTAGTGTGACCTATGTATTTGACCTCACAGTCATTACATGGTATTTGGCAAACCATATTATTTTTCTTGACTGGATGATTTATCCGGTCTCTAAGCCGACAAAGTTTGTATCTGAGTTATTTGGTGTAAATGCCATCCTAATTCCAGCCCCACTGTGAGTCCTACATAAGAGGCCTTAGGTAGGATTCTCAATAAGACTGGAATCTGACATGATTATGAGCAATAAATTCTGCTTGGAACGTCATCCAGTTATTAATACTGCATCACTGTGTGACATTTGAAATAAGCTTATCTTAATTATATAAGAATAAAACTTGGGCACTGTGGTAGAGTGTAATTCCATTATGGGTAAATTTTATTTTGATAAAGTCTCCCAGTGTTATACAGTAATATTTACTGAGCACAACTGTGCTCGAAACGTCATCAGTAAATATTACTGTATAACACTGTGAGACTTTATCAAAATAAAATTTACCCATAATGGAATTACCTTAATTATATTCTACCGCAGTGCTTAAGTTCTACACTTACATTAAATTTTATTAGTTCGTTCACACCTATCAGATTAGCTAAGAGTGGATATGATTTAGACCCAGACGTCTATTTTTCATTCTTAATTCAGTTGGAACGACACTACAATATGTGGGCTTCAAATATAATGGGCAGGTATACTATCAGGGTAGAATCTACCTTTGCTGGGCTACAATTTACATAACATCACGACGTTAGATAAGAAAAGCGGAGATCACAAGAAAAATGGTGTGACTAAAATTCACAAGAGGAACTAAAGGAAGTAGAGAAAAAGTAAAGTAAATTTGCATGACTGAAGATAATTAGTCATATCAGCTAGTCTTTAGCCAACAAATTGAGTCGCCTTGTGGATATCTACCAATAAACCTATATTTACAACACGGAGGCTCAGAACAACAAACAAAAGCTTAATGTGTCGTTTTCTGTTTCTACCTTTATCAGTCTTCTGTAGGTGCGATCCCACTTCACTTAGGATCGCGTGTCGGAACAGACAATTATCTGATACTTCAAATAAATGTTTACAGAGTCATATAAATTTACTATTTTCACCCGAAACTTGTAAAATGTCCATTCAACACGTAGTGGTTCCCATATGCATACAATCATACGGGAATGAGCAATACGCTCGAAAGTTGTAAGAAATAAAATATCCTATTGATGCTACAAATTGGAAGGAACCAATCAAGTACTTTGTGTCTATCGAAATTTCATCGACTAGACAGGAGCTGATCTGCTTAACCAACATAATAGAAACACCTAATTTGATAAAATCGCGATTCTCTGGACTTTGATACATGGGCCATCCTACGAAACAACACATGAAACATAAGGAAGGACACCACAATGCGTCAAATACAGAAACGTCAGTACACCTATGTTTTAAAATTTACTCATCCGACTGGCTCCAAATGCCCAAATAAGCCGCTATATCTAACTGGAAAGCAATACACCATTTCTAAGAACTGCCGTATTTTCATAACGTAAAATTATACGCACTCCAATTTATCGATGAAAGGGAGTGAATGGAAGTGACAAAACTGAAAACACCAAACATATCTTATTTCGCGATTCCATGGTGGTCATTTCCGATAAACTAATTACGAACAGAAATGAATATTAAATATCCACTGAACCCAGTTTAAAAGAGAACACTAACCTTTAGCAAAGTGGTTATAGCAAGAGTCGCAATGCTTCTATTTGGGTCACCAATCAGTTGCTCCAAATCAAGATTGCACGCAGTTACCGCTGCAGGATGGTTGCTGGCAACGGCATTTAGTGTGTGCACTGCAGCATATCGTAACGCAGGTTTAGAAGATGTACAGAGGAGCTGCAGAACACCTACTGCAGGGGCTAACTCTTTAGCTGTTAAATTTCGTAAGCTTATTATTGCACGAGCTGCTTCGTATATGACCATTTCGGATTTGTGACGAAGAGAAGACTCCAGAAACTCAAATAACTGTGGGCTATTCCTGAAATATATGGAGAAAGCATTTCTTGTGAGTGACATATTTATTAGGAGTGATGTCTGTTAGACTGAAAAAAATGCACAGCTCCATGGCGATTAAAGCCTGATTTTAGAATAAGTGCCGTTTCCAGATGTGAGCTACATATTCTCTAGTTTTACATCCCTGGTAACCTTTCAGGATACATTAGGAGGCAATAGCTTCTACTGACATATTGCAAACAACAAATACAGTTGTATCTTTTTCAGTTATGGACACAGGTACACGCAAAACATTAACATCATGACCTAACAGCAGCCAATAAGACGAAGGTTGGTAAATCTGTCAGCAAAAACTTTCAGTGATAAGTCCACAAACATTTTTATTTATGATAAACAAGTCAAAATGCTCCTATATTCAAGGGAGAGTGGAATTTAATCTTTGAAATTAAATGGTTGTCTTCTATTGGGAAGTTTAATTAACGATGTAAGCTGGCAGCCTGTTGCATAATCAATACGGGGAAACAAACGACAAGCTCAAGAGTAATGGTATTTCTCAATACATTGGAAAAGGATTACGAATAAATACAAACTTAATGGAAAAATACCCTTTTTACTTTCTTTTTTTATTTCCAATACATTTATCAGGTGTTAAGGAAGCGTTCGAATAACAGCCTGGGTTTTCTAGTGGACTTAAGACGAAAGAGACTCTTCGACGCTTTTAATATGAATCAAATGTATTCTATGTATATGTACTGAATTTTAAAAATGTAGTATTATCTGACAGTCAACTTGATTAATTAACTGAAAATCAGTGATTTTAACGTCCAGATTAGCGATGCACAAGCAGATATTGGTTGTCAGGATGGACTGCTTAAACTGTAATTAGAATCACGCTGGCAGATTAATTCGATAATAATGTTTACTAATGTGAAATCCTAAGCCGAAAATCAGATTACAAAATTGATATCAAAAGATACTGTTAAACTGATTTGAAAATAAGAAAGTTTGGAGCAATTAAACAACTTACGACAGGCCTTCCTCATCCAGATGTTTAGCTACTATTCTAATCTACAGAAATAGACTGTTATAAATGTTGACTTACCATAAGGCAGTAAGCATATGGTGATCTTAAAGTGGATCGTGTGAACTTTTGGATCATTTTTGTGACAGCGAGTCGGTCAGAACGCCGTATCATGTACAATAATCCAAGAGCATGATACTGAACCATTACACGAGAACCTGAGGCCGCTTCTTGTATCTCATTTGTCCACCTCTTTATAATGTCGGGACACATGTCCATTAACCTGTATGCTGATGTCAGTACCGCTGATGCTATGACTGCAGACTTGTCAACTACAGCTTGCTTAAGGTACCGCTCGATACTTTGGACCATCGCCGCCTGGACATTAAAGTGAAGAATATATCTCAACATACATCAGTTATAGTACATAAAGCCCGGATTGCTGGAGCACGAAATGCCACTTCTGGACCAGTCATATCTTTGGTTAAACTACAAAGAATAACCCAAGATACTTAAGATACCTGCTCGTCACAATTATTACGTCATCCGCCACAGTTGACAATTCCTTGATTACTAAATACAACATCCGACGAAGATTTTGCTAACCCTATGAGAATAATTGCAAAGAACTTACATCACTGGACTGAAACAACTTGGTCATTGCAAAGAAAGCATCCGTTGCCTCAACTTTACCCAGCTTTTCACTCTAAACCCTGAATAAGTCAAATTTCAGCTCAAACCTGTTCCAAAACAACCAAAATTTTAGTCAGAATATGCACACATTTCCGCGGGTTCAGTGGTGTTTGATTGAATAATTTAGCCTAGAGACGTCTGCATAACTAAATGGTCGGACCTACTTCTTGTAAGACGACAGTTTTATCCAATTTAGAGTACGCTGCGCCATAACCTAGGGAAGAAATAGACAACTTGAGATGGTTGAACATCCAGTGTGTAGGAACAAAAAAGCATGATACAACTGTCTTTTGATTTACCTTCTTCTTCCTCTTTCTTGTCTTTCCTCTTCGAACTCACATCAAAAAACGAGGACATGACGCGTCAGGAATCCAAAGAATACGCGTCACAATATGTTGAGGTCATAAAGTCCAATGTTCCAATCAAAGGTTAACACTACCCAGCCGATATGCATTTGTTAGCAGCAAATCTGGTGAGATAAAACGGGACGGTTGAATATCAGTCCACCCTAAATAAGCGATTTCAGGGGTTGTAAATCACACATTTATGTGTTGTTTTTAGTTTGTATTCTGACTTCACTGTAAGTCGCGAATAACATTTCTATACTACGGTTTTTGTAATGATGTGGAGAATTACATCTGCCAGGGAACCTACTTATTAACTTACTTTCCCTGAGTTTAGACTGGCTTGCAGATATTTTGATTCAGTCATCCCAAGCCCCAAGGTGTAAAGTCAAAACGGAAAACAGAGAGAAAGACCCTGAGTTCTACGGAATAGATGGATAAGTAGAGATGAAGTGTCGTTGAGGTTTACGGCTAAAATAAAAACCTTTTCGAAGGAGTTCCATTTTAACTGCTTGCAGAGACGAGTATTCCATGATATGATTATGAGCAATAGTTCGTGCTCGAAACGGCATCAGTTAATATTACTGTACAACACTGTGTGATTTATCCAAACAAAATCTCATCTATAATGCAGTTACACTTTACCACAGTGCCCAAGCTTTATACTTTTATCAATAATACATTATAAAGTTGATATGCTTCACATTACAATAACTTCAGATATCTATAACACCCAAAATAAAAAGCTTCAGTAATATAAGTGCCAAGTAGGATATCACCTAACACCTATCCCTTCATTACAGCACAGAATTTCCCGAATATCCTCTGAAATCGGGGTGTATATGGAAATTTATGACTATAGGTAACCATTGGATCTTTGTGCCCGACTTTCGCTCCAGTCTGCAACTGGCCTGGCAGTATCCCAATTAATGAGGTGAACACACTTTCAGGCGTATGACTCCTCCTCCTGAACTCCATCTTCGCAAGAGATTGGGGAAACCAATCTATCTTGCAACATATTAGTGATTACTTATGTCTTGGAAACAATCCATAGTATTCATGAACTGTAGGGAAGCCTGATTAGCACATGAATTATTACCAGAATCACCCGCTTTCTGTCCACAGCTCATTCTCTTATTCAACGTAGCGAAGCAAAAGGCTTAGAAACACTAATGACCTTTGTTCCTTGAAGTGAGACTTTTCAGTCACACTAGTTTCTTATCCAAACATCCTGTATATTTTGTTATTTTTTACATTTCTAACCCCAATTGCACAATGTCAATTTTCTGAGTTATTATGCTACTTTGTTTTAGTGATACAAATTTCACAGCATGCAGCACGCAGATTTCAACACTCGTATCTCTATATTTACAACGCCCTGATAGTTCAGAGCGAATATGAGTACATAACGTCTCCTCCAGAATTCACTTACTGATTTAAATTCGAGCAAAAGTAATGGCTTTGAGTGATTCACTAATTATCAGGGAAGGCTTGCATTTTTAAGATAGGATTGTAAACCCATTCACCTTCTTAGGTACAACACTGACAAATACCGCGTGAAACAAAACTGCGGTGGATACATAGCAGCACGCAAGTACACATCCCCGTCAAACTTTGTCTTGGTGGTTTGCGAACAATAGGTAAGGTCAGACCAGTGCTAAGTCAGTCTCTTGATAATAAATTGGCAACAGCAACATGGCTAGTCGCGCCATCGCTGTTAGCAAAAAGTGGATTTCGTATTTTAGTTATGCTCCGGAGTACAGCCATTATTTCCACATACTAGACTGACTATTTCAGTTTTCTAATGACCACCACGGTTGTGAACATTATCACCGAGGTATCAACAACTTGCAAGCTGTTTTGACGCGTACGTAGGAAATTCCGCAATGTGAAACGTCATGAGCATCCTAATAATGAAGCTGTAGCAAACATAGATTTAGGCAAAACTTCTGTAGGAATAAATGTGCACCCAGATATATGAAACAAGCAGTCAACAGAAACACTCTACGCAAGCACTATGATTCCCTGTGTTTGGTTGCCCAGTACTAAACGTAACAAGTGTGTGTGCGGAAGTGAATTCCATGGATCCCAGAAACCAGTCAGTGCCGTAAAGGAAATTCCTGAATATCAAGAACTCAAAATTACATCCACTATGTTTATTTCGATCAGTGGCCGTAAGAATTCATCATCCAGGCCTCTGTGTTGTCTGTAAGTTTAATGAGTTGGTTTCCTCAAGGGTCTGTATATTTTATTGCTGAAGGACTTGATTGAAAAATGCAGAGTAGGTGAGATTTACTGTGGGTTAGTGAAGGCTCGTAAATATCCCTTTCCGGATAAGGGACAAAAATGGTTTGGCAGTTTTTCTGTGGAAGGTGACAACGATATACGTAGGCAATTTCGGACTTAAAGATAATTTGCTTTTATAAGCTGCTCATAAACAACTTTTATCCTAATTTTGTTTGAAAGTAAGATTCCCTGCAGCGTGACATGACAGTGTTTAAATAGATGGCGAGTACATACTATGTAAAAAATGCATTCGGACTGTTAGGCTTAAATCGCCAATCTGTCACATAGGTACGGTGGTTAAGGTAAAAGAGTAGCCTTTATGGGGATCTAGCGTCGATTTGTGCGTGCATGGAAAACCTTGGGATTTTAACGTTAATCCTCTTAAAAGGCTGTCCGAAGGCATGTGCAGCTTTTGCCTCTGTATTCCACCTAGGTGGGATGTTTAGTCGCAGAATTCAGGAGATGAGGGGATACTGACGTTTACGCAAGATTCACTGTATATAAATTCAAGTTCCTGTCCTACAACTTCTATCATACTGTCGCTGATATTATCGATTCGTTCTTCTGTTATTGCGCTCTGCGACTCAATATACTTGTATACTTGTATATTCTGCTGGCCGTCTTTTGACTGAATCCTGACATGGTTTTCGTGCAGAAGTATTTCAGAATCATTTTATGGTTGTACATCAGCTGGTAACTCAATGGAAAATTTAGCTTATCTCTTAAGTGTACTTGTGCACGCTGTGGCATCCTAAAAGAAATCAGAGGCCTTACAAAAACGAGTTGCTGAGTTATAGGCAAAGCGGCTGTAGCGCATCAGCACATGTTGAAAAAGGGGCGGTACTCAGTACCTGGAATCTTGAAATGGGGCGGTAGTATGGCCTCTTATAAACGGATACAGTGCTGAAACTTTTATCGATTTATGCTTATGATATAAACATGTCACCTTGGGAAAGGCATGTAGCCACATAAGTTGGTATAGCGTTGTAACGTACTGTACTGGCTGTAGAGGAGAAAGCTTCAAATAATGAACCCGTGGACTCTGAAGCTGGCTCTGCCGCCAGAAGACTTTTAGAAACCGACTTTCCCATCGAAATAACTACCCAAATTACTAACCAACGATCTGTGATACTACAGAACACCAATGATGTGAAGCGAGGAATACCCAATCAAACAAAAGGAATGGCTTTCATCATCTGTTCGAACGTTCGAACCAGGTGACGCTTTTGCACGTGTTTTCGTTCATATTCATTTATTGCTTACTGTTGATTGATCTTTAATAACGATGGGCCGAAATTCTAAAAAGAGTGTTCGTGTGAACACCAGTAATTTAGAAAATAGCACCAGCTCGTCTAATAACACATTACCACCCCTTATTATTAGTAGTTCACCCAACATAAAAGACTCGAACATAACTCTGACCCTTGTAATACAGGTGCAAGATTTTCTGTCTGAAAAGGTACAGCTCTCTTACTTAACATGCATTATTAAAGAGATGCAGCTACAGATAGATGAATTAAAAACGAAGTTAAGTTCATTAGAATGTATACGCGAAACTACCTCACTTATGAAAAAGGAACTGCAGGATCCTACAATCCTAAAGCTTTTTAATATGATCTCTAGAATGACGCCTACTGACTCAGAAAATGCGTAGGAGTTTGGAAACGCCATTGACTTTCTATCCAGCGAAGTTGTTAAAAGGCTGGCTTCGAAACAAAACGCTATAGTGTATAATGTACCAGATAGCGAGCCCATTAAGTCGGTCCAGCACTCATTGTTGAAGGCTGCAAATCTCTTGAGTGCACCTTGTCAGTGCATTCGCCTAAGTAAAAAAGACTTAACGCATCCATGTCCCATACTCATAAGGTTCGACAGCTACATAATAGCTGAACGATTTAAGAAGGCCGAAGATCTTCTGGCTACTGCTACTGAATTCAAGACTATTAAAGTAGTCTCGGATAAAACAACTAACCAAAGGCAAGCAACCAAGAACTCCTTCGATACAAAGTTGAACACACCGAGAAATGCACCTGGTATCAGTGCTAAAGTGTCGACGGACACAGAAGCACAGCAAGTCACCTGTATAGTGTTGGGAAAAAAGTCGGCAAGTAAAAGCGATTCGAAACTCAGCAAGAGCAGTGTCACTGGGTGCAATCTTAAAGTACATGAGAGCACATCTGGAAAACCTGCTGACATACATGAGGTTGATATTGACTCACAAACTATGGCTGACCAGAAACCACTGGCAGACCACACTCAATCTGGATGCAACCCCGAGAGTCCCGCAGTGGAAACTGCAAGAAAGACGACAAAGCCTAGAGTCCCACTCCAGACTTCGACATACCTCCCTCTCAATAAGTCTAATAAGCAACATGTCAGTTTAAAAAATGACAATGCATGGGTAAAAAACCATATTCCCAAAAACGTCATCCATCATGTGAGTAAGAACACCCCTTCCCGAACTAGGAGTAATATGCCTAGCAACGCACATAACTTGGGAATGCAACGTAGAAAGGATCATCAGGATATATGGAGCACTAAACGGGACTCATATAGGCACCATATTAATGAATATTCTCGTCCAAACTCTCACACTATCTATGAGTATAGATCGACACTTGACCCTCTCAATAACTTCACTCACACATGTGATGTGAGGCAATATGCATACGACTATGAAAGACCCATGAGGTACAACTACCAAGGTAATCTTAACACAGGGTACCTAGGTCAAGCAAACTATATATCACCAGTAAATGAACGCAGATGCC